AGGACATTCTGCCTGGCCTCAGGAGCTGACAGTCTCCTTGGCCGGCCTAGGTCTGACTGGCAGGATCCTACATCTTATAATCTCCTCATCGTGCAGGGGGTGAAACTGAGACCCAGGGAAAATAACGTCCATCTCACAGGGGTCAAAGAGCAAACCTTGTGCTGGAATCAGAGTTTTCTAGAGAGATGCTTGGGAATCATCTAAATGAAAACTTCTTATATTTATTGAGCACTTTTACATCTCTTGTAGGACATTCAAATGGCAGAGCTAGGTAGAACCTTAGAAGATAGAATGTCAGAGCTGGGAGGGGCCTGAGAACAGGGGATGTCAGAGCTGGGCGGGGGGGCTGAGATCAGGGGATGTCAGAGCTCGGAGGGGCCTGAGAACTGGGAGTGTTAGAGAGATTAGTTCAACTTCCTGATCTTACAGATAAACATATCCAGCAAAGAGAAATGACTTACCAGAATTCAAATTGTTAAAGACTTGGCCAACTGAACTTCAAACGCTGTTCTTCTCCCTCTGTCCTGGGGAATGGGCACCATCCATAGAGCTGAAGCTTCTTCTTCTCTTGGCCTCCCCAAAGGCTTCACTGCCCGCATCTCAGCTGGAGCTCCCCAGGGATCAGTCCCATTCAGAGGCACATTTGGATTCACAGAACATGTACTCCCCCAGCTCCCAATACCCCATGAGACTAATGGTCAGTGTCTTCACTTCACAAATGAGGAGACTGAGGTTACAGCAGTAAGGTGACTTGCTGAGGGACCCATGGCTGGTAAAGGACATGTCTGAGATCCACAATATGGATTCAAGCCCAGTGTTCTTTACGGAGAATGGCATAGTGGTTAGAAAACAGGTGTGTGGTGATGTATGTTTAACAACCAGCTTTCCAGGAAAAAGAATTACACACAACACTTGCAAGTTTAATCTTAATTACTAACATTTTTGCCATCACTTTCTTAAGTCTAGACCATCAATAAAACAGGAGATCAAGCCTTGATTTGTAGCATTTGCTGATTTCTAAAGTGTAGAAGCTCACACTGAAAATGCATCCATTGGCACTGAAAAGCTGGTTAGAGCTGGCTCCGACACATTTCCGTGACAGTTGACCTGGGTCATCCAGAAGACTTGAGTTCAGATCCAGCCTAAGACATGTACTAGCTGTGTGACCTTGAGCAAGTCATTCCACTTGATGAGCATCAGTTTTCCCATCTGTCAAATGGGAATAATTGTAACACCTCCCTACTAATTACACTCGGCCTTCTAGGTTAGGCAGAGGTGGAAAATCCTTCAGTGGGCTTGGTGCTCGATGGGATTCTAGAGGCCAACTAGTCTGACCCCTTCATTTTACTGATTAGGAAACTGAGGCTTAGAAAGGTAACTTTCAAATGTAGCTCCTCTGACTCCAAAGTCCTCTTTGGGGAAGGGGTTAGATCCTTTCTCTGGCTTTCCATTGTCTAGAGCAGTGGTGTTAAAATAAAAACAAAGGCAACTCAGTCATACATATGAATCTCCAGGGTCCACATAGTGACTGAGAAAACCACTTGTGTTTACATATTCCTTTTTTTAAAAAATAATACATCAGCACGTTAAAATCAAATGGGAACTGCATTTGAATCTTGGTTTGGGCCAAGCTAGATCGACTGTATGTATGTAGCTGGTGCACCTTGGATTTTATACCTCTGGTCCTGACAAGGCAAAGCAGGTGGATTCCCAAAGTGCTTTTCAAACCTTAGAGCTCTCTGCAAATGGTAGCTCTTATTAGTTCTGTTTAATTACACTATTCAGCCTTTCTTTGAGGAGGTCAAGGCAGGCATCATCCCCATTGCATAGATGGGAAAACTTAGGCAGAGAGAAGCTGTCCAAGGTCACACAACAGAGTTGATTCAAGGGGTCAGAGTGCTGGAAAGCCCTTGATATACTGAAGGGACTAGGAAGGGAGGGAGTCCCCAGGGGGCATCGAAAGTATGTCTCCAGGGCTCCGTGTTCTGAGCAGAGGGTGAAAGGCAGGTGGGGACCTTGAAGAATTTAACCTGGAAGCAGGAGTATGCTGGGGACAGCTTCAGCCTCTCTAGAGCTGATCGTTAAATGTTCATTGCAAGCATTTATACCTTGAAAGATGACAGATACTCCAAATCAAAGTTTGATTTCTTGTTTCATTGATTATCTAGATTTATGAAGGTGATAGAGAAAATTTTAGCAATAAAGATTAAGCTTTAAAGTGCATTCTGTGCACATCCTCCCTCTCCCCCTCTCCCTCCCAAGAGCTGATAGTTAAAGATTTAACAGCACACCCCTGCCTAGGAGACTAAAATTCAAGCTTGGTCCAAATGTGGTAAATATTATATTCAATTTTACTGAAAAGTTTCATGATAGGGGAGAGTTCTGGAGTTTAGGAGAGAAGTTAATTTTTAGAGGAAAAAAGTATGGATTTTTTTTTCTAGGGAAGATAAAAAGAAGAAGACATCAGGAAGCCCAGCCCTCCAAATAGAGGAGCTCAGTGTAGCTAAGCCAAGTTTGAGGAATCAATCTTTTTTAAGGATTCATTTGAAGGATGATGAGGACATTCAAAACTGGGCTTTACAAGGGTTAGGTTCAAGGACTTGGGTGTTTAATATGGAGAAGACTTTAGAACAGATTTGCTGCTTTTGTGGGTAGGAGGAAAAGGGCTGGGGGGAAATACTTGGTAGTTAGGAAAAAATAACAAAGACCACAGAAAGGACAAAAAAAATCCCAGCCCAGTAGTTTTAAAGTTATTGAATTTATTACATACTTAAAATAAAATCAAATGGTTCATAATAGAGTTTCAAAGTTTCATGTGTTCACATCTTTCTCTGTTATATTATGTATATGGAAATGCCCATTTTCTTTAATGTTTATTAGGTTTAGAATACATAATTTTTTTTTAAAAAAGCAGGGGGGCAACTAGGTGGCAAAGTGGATAGAGTTCCAGCCTTGGAGTCAGGAGGACCTGAGTTCAAGTGTGACCTCAGACACATAACACTCACTAGCTGTGTGACCCTGGGCAAGTCACTTAACCCTATTGCCTAGCCAAAAAAAAAAAAAGCTGGGGAAATGAAAAAAAAAGTTGGTCATGTAGAAGTATTAGACTAATTCTTCTTGGTCTCAAAAGAGCAGTACTAAGAGCAACAGATTGCAGAGAGACCAATTTCAGCCCAACATAAGGAAAGATTTCCTGGCAATCAACGCATTTAAATAGTAGAATGGAATGCCTTGTGAGGTAGTGAGTTTTCCATCACTGGAAGTATTCAAGTGGATGCCGTATGACCCCTTCCTAGGGATATGATAGGGGGAGATTCCTTCTCAGATGCAGCTTATGCTCCGTGACCACTGACGTTCCTTCAATCTCCAAAGTTCTATATTCCTAAATCAATTCAAATGACATTTATAATATGGTATTCCTATGCACAAGACACCATGCTCAGGTTTTGACTTGATGAAAGGAAGCATTTCCTAATAATTAAAGCTGTCCAAAAGTTAGATGAGCTACTTTGATAGGCAGTTAAATTCCCCATCATTGGGGGTATTTTAGTGGAGGATGAATGGCCTCTTGCCAGAAATATTGACTTGGAAGTTCATGCGTCAGATAAAGGCTTGGTTATATTATATGACCACTTTTCTGATTTGGGGATTCTGCAGCTCTGTGACCTCTCCCTCTGGATTTTTGACTGCTATCAGTATCAATTATTGTTATGTTGGACCTTTAAAATCAATTGGACCAATTTCTCCTGGTCCTGGTGGGGCAGGGAGTGAGTGCAGCACAGTGCATTGGGAGGAGCATAAGACTTGAGATTGAATTCCGCTTACTACCTGTGTGATCTTGAACAAATCACACACACATCTAGGTGTCCCAGTGGCTAACACACTAGACCTGGAGTCAGGACAATCTGAGTTCAAATCCACCCTCAGAAACTTACAAGCTGTATGACCCTAGGCAAGTCATTTAACCTCTGTGCCTTAGTTTCTCCATCTATAAAATAGGTGCTAATAATAGTACCTATCTCCCAAGGCTGTGAGAATAAAATGAGATGATATTTGTAAAGTGCTTTGCTAACCTGAAACCATAATATAAATGCTAGTTATGATTATTATTACTTTTTAAGATAAAATTTTATTAATATCTTTATATCACCTAAATTTTCCCCTGTATCCTTCTCCCTTCTTCTTTTTTTTTTTTTTTTTGCTTTTAGGCAATTGGGGTTAAGTGACTTGCCCAGGGTCACACAGCTAAGTGTCAAGTGTTTGGTTTGAGGCCGGATTTCAACTTAGGTCCTCCTGACTTCAGGGCCGGTCGGTACTCTATCCACTGTGCCACCTAGCTGCCCCTCCCTCCCTCTTTCCAGAGACCCATTCCATATAACAAAGAATATTTTTAAAGAGAAAAAAAAGAGGAAAGGGGGGAAAAATAGCAAAATGGATCAATACTTTGAAAAACATCTGAAAATACACCCAATATCCCATATCCATGGACCTCCCGCCTCTTTAAAGGAATAGGGAGAGGTGTTTTCTTATATCGCTTCTTGTGATCAGGGGAAGTCACCTTTAATTTCTTTGGGCCTCAGTCTCCTCATCTGTAAAGTAAGGGGGTTGGTCTAGATGGCCTCGGAGGTCCCTTCCAGCTCACAATCTAGGATCCTGTGATTTGCTTCTCCTTCATCTATCTCTTGCCCGATCTGACGGTTATGGGATGCTGCTGATACACTGGCTGACAGTCTCTCTCTCCCCCTCCCTTCCTCCCTCCCTATCTTTTTCTCTCCTCCTCCTCTTCCTCCTCTTCCTCCTCCTCCTCTTTGTGTCCCCCCTCTCCCCCTCCCTCCCTATCTTTTTCTCTCCTCCTCCTCCTCTTTGTGTCCCCCCTCCCCTCCCTCCCTATCTTTTTCTCTCCTCCTCCTCCTCCTCCTCTTCTTCCTCCTCCTCTCTGTGTCCCCCCTCTCCCCCTCTCCCTCTCCTTTTCCACTCTCTCTCCCTCTCTTCCCCACCAGACTCTGTGAAGTACCTGGAGTGTTCTGCCCTCACTCAGCGTGGACTGAAAACTGTTTTTGATGAGGCCATCCGGGCCGTCCTTTGCCCCCAACCCACCCGACAGCAGAAACGCCCCTGTAGCCTACTCTAGAGGTAAGTACTGAAGATAGCTCCCTGAGCCCAACCCTGGGCTGCACAGCCCACTACCATTTCCCACAAGGCTGAGTTACCGCTGCCCATCTAGGCAGGATCCTTTCTGACAAGGACTTAATCAGTAAGCATTTGTGTGTCTGGCACTGTGCTTATGATACCAGTGCTGGGTGGAGTGTCTCAGAGGGTGAGGTGTGCAAGGGGTGGGCTCATGGTAGGAATGCTGTGTTGTTTAATGTCACTTACCTGTGGAGTTAAGGACAGAGTAGAGTGAGAGATCCCTGGGGTGGAGCATGGCCCTCTTCCAGACCGGGAGCTGGAAAGGCCCACAGAGGTCATCTAGTCCAAACTTTTCCTTTTACAGATGAGGAAACTGAGGCCCAGAGAGGGAAAGTGACTTAGCAGCTCACAGCCCTAGAGCTGGAAAGGACCTCAGAGGTCATCAAGTCCAATCCTCTCATTTTACAGATAGGGAAACTGAGGCCCAAGGAAGTTAAGTGGATTGTCCAAGGTTACATATGTAGTAAATGACAGAGATGAGGTCTGCATCCAGGGCACAGTGGAAAGAGTCCCTGGAGTCCAAAGACCCAGCTTCTGCTCCCAGCTCTAGCTACAACATCATAGGCCTGACTTGCCCCAAGACCCTTTTTAGGATTGATACCCTAAGCCAAGGCTTTGAACCACTAGCCCTTTGAACAATGGCTTCTCCAGCCCCAAACACGCTTGTGGGGGTGGATGAAGTACGTGGGCCTGCCTACTCAATTTTCTTTTGCTCAGTGTTAACCAATCAGATCACTTCCTAATTACATGTTGGATTTGAGGGTCATAAATGAAGACTTCAGTCAAAGAATTCCCTGGGCATACATAATAGCCTCTCCTTTTTCTCCTCATCAGAATTATTTCTGCTTATGTCTTCAGAAAAAGCAAATACTTGTTATTTGAAAAAAAAATTACTCAAAAATTAAGTCATTATAAGGTAAGGTTGGCGTTTGGAGAACCTGCTGGAGAGTCATGGCAGACAGTGGAAAGCATGCTGGATTTGGAGTATGAGGAACTGAGTTTGAATCTGGCCTTGTCTACTTACTGTATGAGTGACCTTGGGCTAGTCACTTTAACTTCTCCTCACCTGTAAAATGGCAGCGAGGGACCTTAGAGTTGATCTCTAAGGTCCAGCCTAGCTCTACATCTTTGCTCTTATGGGACAAATGATGGTACAGATGAGCACAGTGAAGGGATCTCCTAATTCTCATCCTTCCTCTTTTTCCTCTCCAGGTATGCCCTCGGGGCCCATTTGTTTCCCAGCACCTTGTCACTATCCTCCCCAGTTCTCTGATTTCGAGGCCTGGGGGCTTTTCAGCCAGTCAGCCAGCCTTTTCCCCTTGGCGTTCCTTAATAGATGGATGGAATTCTTGGTCACTAATCTGATTGCCAAAGACATTTCCAGGACAAGATCATGTGAGCGCATGCAAAGCTGTTCCCCACTCTCTGCTTGGGCCCCCTACCAAAGCCAGGGGCTTCTGGGGGAGATGACCAATAAAACAGACCTCTTTTGCTGCAGTGGAAACTCTTGTGTGGGACCTCCCAGGATCTCAACAGTGGGCCCCGGGAACCTCTGGGGGTGCTGCCACACCCCCTTGAAGTCACTCCTTCCCATCTTTCCTCTTCTGGAGCCCAGTTATCCTCATCGCGGTCATCATATCATTCTTTCTGACACAGAATGTTGCTTAATAGTAATGATTGTTTACATTGGGGTAGGGGTCTGTGCCACATCCTCTAGCTTTTGTCATCCTCACAATAAACCTAGGAAGGTAGGTGGAGGCCAGTATTACAGTTCCCATTTGACTGACGTCCAGAGAGGTCAGTTGCCTTGCTTGTAGTAACACAATGTCAAGGTTTCCCATATCTCTGACTTCCGGGATCCCACACAGAGAGTAGGAAAGGGTTGTGGAAGACATTGGCAAGGACAGTCCTAGCAATGGTCTTGTAGACAGAGGCATCAGGGGATACAGACTGAGTGCTGGATGGGACCTCAGAAGTCACCTGGTCAAATAGTGACTTCATCAATCATAGGATCAGAGTTTTGGAGTGGGAGGGGACACCAGAGGTCCTCAACCTCCATCCCTCATTTCATAGATAAACGAACAGGGCTCAGAGAAATGAATAACTTTTCCAACATCTTACAGGCAGTCGAACCTGGGTCCCCAGCACTCTTTCTGCAGCCCCATGAAACATCCCCAGATGGCCTCAATGCCTATTGGGCTTCCAGCACAGGGAAACAGAGACATTCAGGGAAAAGCCCAGGAACAGCAGAGCCCTTCCCCAGCCCACCCATTGCTCTGCCATGAAGAGTCTTACCTCTCCTCTCCCAAGGAACAGCTGTGTGACAGCAGTACAAGAGACCCACCTAAGAAACATCAGCTCAGAAATGGGGCTTCTTCTTCTTGTTATTTGGGAATCTTGCAGCCCCTGAGGAGTAGAGAGGTTGGGGCCCCTTGTCAGGGATTTTATTTGGAGCAGATTCCTGGCTGTCCCCACAGCTCACTTGCCTTGGCTTTCTTAATGAGATAGTACTGCAAGCCAGGGGCAAATCCAGGATTTAAACCCAGATCTCACGGCTGCTAAATGAAGAGTGCTGTAATGAAAAGTACAACTCATTTCTATGGTATCCTTAATTTCATGAACAACCTATAGCAGGTAAGGAGCATTCATTTACACCCTCAGGGACTGGGGCCCATGTTTCCCCTTAAGATGCCACACAGAGATGCCTTGGATGACCGCTTTGGGGGGAGTCCCATCCTGCCCCAGTCTCACTCCCTGTAAAACTCATCAGAAAAGGTGCTTCACAGATGACTTGGAAGACACAGTACCTGGGATCCTAGTTAGGGGACCTCTAGGCTCTGCTACTGGTTCTCTGGGTGATGGTAGACTTGTCCCTTTCCCTCTCTGAGGTCTCATTTTTTCATCAGTAAAAATGAAGGTATGAATCCTTGCCTTCACTTACTCACAAAATTGTTGGAAGAAAAATGGCCTGCACACCTATACAACCCTCTAGAAATGTGAAACATCAGCATTGTTAAGAATAGCTCAGGTCCCATGAGAAGTGCTGGCCTCATGGGGAGGCAGAATAGGGGTCCACCTGCCTGGGATTGGAAGGCCACACTTGTGACTGGATCTTTCCCCCACCCACACAGATAGGACTTGGTATTCATGTTCTGCTGTCTACAGAATGCTTTCACATTTACTAGCTTGTTTGCTGTTCCCAACAAGGTAGACAGTAGAGGCATTTTTATATTATTTTGAAAGAAACTGAGGCCCAGAGAGGGATTATTCCAGTTCACACAGCTTGTAAGTCACAGCCAGGACTTGCACCCAAATCTTCTTCTGACTCCATGTCCAGGGACCATTTCATTACAAACAGAAATCTCCTAAAATTCTACCCTGTGGCTGGGGAGGTGGAGGAGAGTAGAGGAGGAGAAGGGTGTTCTACCTTGGAACTAAGGCTTTGCCATCTTCAAGAATTCTCTGTCTACAGATGTGGAAACTGAGTCTCAGAAAAGCAAAGTGACCAGCCCCGAGTCATTCCACTGCTGTGTGAAGTCATCTTTTCTGAATCTCAATCCCATACTCTTTCCACTGTGCCTCTCCCCCTTCCCTCAAATCCAGACGAAGGGCAAGTCTTGAAACAATGCCCTTTGGGGGAGCTGGAGGTCTGAATATGGGCTCAAATGCTCCTGTGTGGACCAGAATCTGGATTGAGCCTGCCTCTTTCCTCCGGAGAAATGAGGAAAGCAAGATGAGCTGAGGTGCAGGGTGAGTGTGTGCGTGAGTGTGTGTGCGCATATGTACACTCAGGCTGAGGCTCAGGGTGTCACCAGAGCATGAGTCACCCAGCTAGACGCACACCCTGCAGTCCCTTATACGCTCTGCAGTTGTCTGACAAGCAAAAAAGGAGACAAACGACTGGGCCCAGGGATGGATGCAGGACCTGCTGAGATGGGAGGGGATAAAGGGCAGAGATAACAGGCTGGGAGCCCCTGTTGGGATGGGGCCCCTGACATCCTACCAACACACACACACAGCAGCCAGCCCAGCTCTGGGTCCCCAGGGATGGTTACTTTTATATAGCCGTGCACCCCCCCTACACACACACATGTTCTCTCTCTGTTTTCTGTCTCTCTCAGGTTTTGAATAGAACAATTCCCCCCAAAACAAACCAACAGCTGAGTGCCCCTTTTGGGCAAGGCACCCTATCTTAAGCCCTGTGGGGAAAATTAGCAAAAAGGCACACATTCAGTCCTGAAGCTCCCAGTCTAACAAGGAGATGGTTATTGACCCAGGGGAAAGTCATAATCTGATGGGAGACACATAGTTCCCCATGCTTGGAGAGCCCTTGGTGTGAAAGAGTAGACAAGGCTTCTGTCCTTAAGAAACCACTGGGCATAGGACTCTAGGATCGTGGTTCTAAGGCAGCAAGGGACCTCAGAGACAATCAAGTCCAAACCCCTAATTTTACAGGTGAAGAAACTGAGGCCCAGAGAAGGGTAGTGACTTGCTCAAGGTCACACAGATATTAAATATTAGAGGGGAATTTAAACCTAGGCCCTCTGACTCTAGTGAAGACAAAGCCCCTGCCTTTAGGCAGCTCCCAGTCTGATGTGGGAAGCAAGTCTTTTGTCCTTGAGGAGCTCCTATTCATATGAGGTAGATACATTCCCCATCCTCAACCTGTCCCCAGTCCACTGGAGGAGACCCAGATCCTGCTTTGAGGGGGAGACCCTGAGCTAAGCGGAGCAAATACAGCCCCGTCCTGGGAGGAAGGGGGTGTGAAGAGGGCAGTCCAAGTTGGATAGGGGTTGCAGTCCCCAACTCTGGAGAACCTCATGTTCTTCAAGAGAAACAGCTCTCAGGTGTTTGCTGATCTGAAGAAGATTCAATCCCTGACCTCAGGGAGCTTCTGGTCTGATGTGGATCAGATCAGGTGGGATCAGGTCAGATCCTATGGCAACTATCATGAGGTGGATGAAGAGACTGGGATGTGTGAACTGACCTGTGACAAGAAGTAGCCATGGTAATGAGGAGAGCAGGAAACCTTGAAATCCCTTTCCTTCTCACTCCCTCCCTGAGCAGCTCCATAGAGTCCAAAAGAGGATTTGGACATCATCTAGTCCAACCACTTCATTTTACAAAGGAAGTAAGTGAAGCCCCAAAAGAAGTGAATTGCCCATGACCACATAGGAAGATGGAGAATCAGAAGACCAGAGTTGGGGAAAAGGACTTGCCCAAAGTCATACTATAAGTTAATTGAAGCCAGGGATAAAATCCCATCCTTACAACTCCCAGTTTCTTTCCTCTAGGCCACACTGGAATTGGACCTGTCTTTGGATTATCTGTGGCCAGCCTAGGTCTGGCCTTCTGCAGAGCGCAGCCAAAAGCAATCCATAGCCAGAAGGGAAGACTTCAGAGGCTTGGACCAAATCATGGAGTGTACTGTTCTCCTGCTCAACCCTAGGAGGGCACTATTAATGAGGAGAACTTTGGGATTATGGGAAAAGGAAGCTGTTTCATGGAAAATGGTACTTTGGAGTAGTGAGCTGGCCTAATGAAGCTGGTGGAGAACAGGAGTCCTTAGCCTCTCTCTCTCTCTCTCTCTCTCTCTCTCTCTCTCTCTCTCTCTCTCTCTCTCTCTCCCTGCTCTCTCTCTGCTCTCTCTCTCTCTCTTCCTCTCTCTCTCTCCCTCTCTCTCTGCTCTCGCTCTCTCTTCCTCTCTCTCTCCCTCTCTCTCTCTCTCTCTCTCTCTCTCTCTCTCTCTCTCTCCTCCCTGCTCTCTCTCTGCTCTCTCTCTCTCTCTCTCTCTTCCTCTCTCTCTCTCCCTCTTCTCTGCTCTCTCTCTCTCTCTTCTCTCTCTCTTCTCTCTCTCTCCCTGCTCTCTCTGCTCTCTCTCTCTCTTTTCCTCTCTCCTCTCCCCTCTTCTCTCTGCTCTCTCTCTCTCTTTCTCTCTCTCTCCCTGCTCTCTCTCTGCTCTCGCTCTCTCTTCCTCTCTCTTTCTCCCTCTCTCCTCTCTCTCTCTCTCTCTCTCTCTCTCTCTCTCTCTCTCTCTCCCTGCTCTCTCTCTGCTCTCTCTCTCTCTTCCTCTCTCTCTCCCTCTCTCTCTCTCTCTCTCTCTCTCTCTCTCTTCTCTCTCTCTCCCTGCTCTCTCTCTGCTCTCGCTCTCTCTTCCTCTCTCTCTCTCCCTCTCTCTCTGCTCTCTCTCTCTCTTTCTCTCTCTCTCTCTCTCCTCTCTCTCTCTCTCTCTCTCTCTCTCTCTCTCTCTCTCTCTCTCTCTCTCTCTCTCTCTCTCTCTCTCTCTCTCTCTCTCTCTTCTCCATGTAATGGACCACTTTGACAATCCTCAGAATCATTTTTAAATGCTTAAAATACTTAGTATTACAAAAGAAAGCAATTCTTAATCAATAATCAACATTATTAAAAGCCTGCTATGGGCCAAACACTGTGCTAACCTCTGGTTTACAAAAAGAGGCAGAAGACAGTCCCTGTCCTCAAGGAGCTTCCAATTTAATTCAATTCTGTTGAGATAGTTATCAAAATATATTTTTTCCTTAGAGAGCCCATTTATGACTCATTCAATTTCCTTTTCTACGATAGGGCTATTTAAACATTCTGTTTCCTCTCCTGTTGTTCTGGATAGTTTATATTTTTGTATATTTACAAAAATGTTTTTTGTATGTTTTTTGAAAAGTTCAGACAACCACTGAAATGTCTCTGCTGCTTCCTTTAGGGTTTGTGGACCCCTGATTAAGAAATCCTCTGAATGAACAACAGTCACTTGAGATCAGAGAATCATAAATCTAGAGCTGGAAGGGGCTCAGAGACCCTTTAGTTAAACCCCCTCATTTTATAGATGATGAAAGTATGGCCCACAGAGGTCAAGGGAACTGTCCCTGGTCAGAGAACTATCAGAGGTCATTTGGCCCAGTATTCACAGAATTATATCTTTAGAGCTGGAAGACCCCAGAGGCCATTCAGTCCAACCCCCATTTTACAGATGTGGAAACTGAGGCCCAGGGAGGGTCATAGGTTCCTTGACCCTGAGCTGGAAGGATCCTCAGAGGCCATCCAGTCTAACCCCTCATTTTATACACAAAGATGTAAGATGACTTACTCAGGAGTAAGTAAATCAGAGATGTGATTTGAAGCCAGATCCTTTGATTCCAGAGCCCCTGAATATGATCCCTCACTCTCTGAAGCAAGGGACTGAAGGAACAGCAGGGTGCACCCTGAATTCTTTTTCATAATCACCCTCTACATTTGTAAAGTGCTCTTGAATCTTTAAGCTCTTTCAGAGTTAAAAAAAAAACAAACTCATTTGATTATCACAACCCCCATGTAAAATCAGCACATCAGAAAATCAAGTAACATGATCCCCATTTCACAGATGAGAAAATGGAGGCACCCAAGGTCAACTTCCTCTCTTGCAAAACCCACATCTTTTTCCTCCCTATTCTGTGGGCCCTTCACTAGAGCCCTTGTCTGATGACTTGTTGGGCTGTGCAGGTGACCTGGAGCCCTTGAAGGCTAGGCCAACTGTGTCAGGGCCCACAGAGCTGGGAAGGCTCAGAAAGAAGGGCCAAATGACTCATAACATGGTTGTCATCCAAGGACTAGCCTGGCTTAGCTTAGAGAGGCTCATTACCGGAGGACTGACTGGTCACCAGGGAAGGAATTTGTCTTTTTCCACATCAACTCACCAAAAAACAGTCTAGCAAAGCCTGGAAAGGGTTGCAGTCTGTTTTGGTGGAGGGAGTGGGCTCCTGTCACAGATTTAGAGCTGGGAGGATCCTCAGGGGCTGCATACTCCATCCTTCTTCATTTTACAGATGAGGAATCTCAGATGTTTAAGTTACCTACCCAATGTCACAGCCGAGAAAGGTGTCTCTTCTCCACCCCTTCCTCCTGGTTTCCCTGGCTTCCTCCAAGACTCAGCCCAAATCTTACCTTCTTCACGGAATGTCTCTAAGGCCCCATCACCACGAGGGCCTTTCCATTTACACTGCACGTATCTTGTATGTTTATCATTGCTTGTGTGTTTTCTCCCTCATTAGACTATAAGCTCTTTGTGGGAAGGGTCCCTGGTTTTGCCTTCCTATCTATCCCCAGCACTTAGCACAGAGCCTGATATACAGTAGGTGCTTAATAAATACTTCTTTATAATGATGAAGACCTGAAGCCAAGTCCTCCAGAGTCTAGCACTCTATTTGCTTTGGTTAGCTGTCTCTTAGTCCTTTTCATCCTTTGGGGGTGAGAACTGGGGTTAGTCATGGGAAATGAGGCCAGAAATTGCCTCTGGGGTTCTCTTGCCTGCTTTGGGGAGACATCTTTCCAACAGACTTGGAAATACACTGCACCGTTCTCTCTCCCCCACTGGAGGAAAAAAGTTGGGGAACAGAGAATATGAGTCACAGGGGAGAGAAGGGGTATCTGAAAGTCCACCTGGCTGGCCAGAGATGCTCAGCCTGGTGGTAGCTCCTTTGTACTGTTGGGGGGTTATACCTACCCCAGGACAGAAGATCTAAGCTGATGGAGATCCAGAGATTGATCCACATGCTCACACAGTGGGTTAGACAGCTGCTGCTGCCCCCAGCGCCTTTGAGAAGCAGGGAGAAGAAGGAAGGGAAGGGAAAAGCTACTCCATATAGGGCGTGAACACAAAAGGACCTCAGAGATCACCTTGTCCAACTTCCCCATTTTCCATGTGAGGAAGTAGAAACCTGGAGATGTGAAGTGATCAACTCAAGGTCACACAGTGAGTAAGCCTTACAGGCAGAGTTGTGGGTTGGCAGACCTGGGGATAGAAAGGACCTCAAAGGACGTTTAGTCCAAATCCCTTCTTTGACAGATGAGGAAACTGAGGCCCAGTGAAGTCAAATGAAGAAACTGATAGACTCATATATTTAGAGCTGAAGGGACTTCTGAGACCAATCCTTTCTTTTTACAGATGAGGAAACAGAGTCCCAAGGAAGCAAAGTGACTTTATCACTGAGGTGGTAGGAGCCAGAGTTGCGGTTTGAATGCTGATACTGTAACTGCAGACCCAGTAGTCTCTCCATCATAGCACTATGGCTCCCTTGCGAGGGGAAGTCTTCCCCTCCCACCCACCCCACCCATCTGCCTTCTGAGGCTCATCTGCTCAGCCAGGACCTGCCCATTGTCCCATTGTCCTTGGAAGAACAAGGTTTGGAGGGTCGTGGAGACGAAGGAGTGACAGATGTTAACCTGGAAAATGGCAGGAGGTGGATCCAGAGAGCAGCCGGTGAGGGGCAGCTGGAGGGGTGGGGGCCTGCCTTGGGCTGGCACTCCACCTCCTTCTGCTGCTGGGCCCACTTCTCTAACTTGAACTAGCTCCTAGCTCCAAGGCCCAGCGTGGGTGGCTGAAATCTCCCCGGTAACAGGGGTCTGCCCCCTCCCCCTTCCTCTCCCTCCTTCCCTCCTTCTCCTCCCTCCCCCTTCACTCTAACCTTCTGTCCTTCCTCCTATCCTCTCACACTAGGCACCTGCTCTCTGCATTCCCCCTCTGCCCCTCCTCCTTCCCTCCCTCCTTCCCTCCCTCCCTCTCCCTCTCCCCTCCTTCTCTCTCTCTCTCTCCCTTTCTCTCTCTCTCTCTCTCTCTCTCTCTCTCTCTCTCTCTCTCTCTCTCCCTCCCCTCCCTCCCACACCCCCTCATTCTTTTTCTCCTCTTCCCTGGCTCCCTGTCACCATCTGTGGCACAGTCATTCTCTGTCACTCTCCTTACCACCCCCTCATTCTTCTTTTCTCTGTTGTTACCTCTCTCCCTGCATCACTCTTTCTTTCTTCCTTCTCTTTCTCTCCTTACTCCTTTTCTCCTGCTCCTCAGGCATCTCTCCCTCTCTTGCTAAGCACTCCCTCTCCATCTTGCTACCCACTCATTGTGTCTTTCTAACCCCCTCATCCCTCTATCCCTCTATCCTCTAGCCCTCTCCCTTTGCCGAGTTTGTTTTATTCCCATTGGCTTCTGAGGCTGCCCAACACCCTCAAGAGCTCTCCTTCCCTCGTGGAGGGCTCTCCCTAAATTCTCCACCCTCTGCCAACGCCCACCTCTTGACCTCTTTCTTGTACCCAGGCTTCTTCCAGGAGGCATGTGGGAAGAATTTCTCAGCATCGATGGGAAGGCAGGGATGGAGATCATATGGCAGAGCCTCAACAGACAGATGTGGCCATCTCGGGGCTAGTGGAGTGCCCCTTGTGGGGCACAGCAGGAAGCTGGAGGCCGGGGCACTGGGAGGGCAAGCTTCAACAGGAGAACAGACCCTAAAAGACCCCCCAGGCCCAGGGAAGAAGCTGTGGGAGCACTCTAACCCAGACAAGGGAAGAGGGGGGAATGGATGAGCCCACGAGGGATCCCCTCATCTGACAAGCAGGTAAGGAGGCCAAAGGTCCTATTATTACTTTTGAGGCTTATGCCCTACAAGCCCCCTCCCTGGTCCTCCTCCACCCAGAGCCTGAGTTGGAGTCAGTGTGGGGTAGGAAGCGTGAGGGCGGCATCAGGTGGTGGCTGTAGTGGGGAAGTGGAGGGGTTGGGGAGAACCTTCTGGGATTATTGGAGGGACCTTGGAAATGGAGCTACTAGTCTTAGGGTATTAGTATTTGAAGGGAACATATAGCATAGACTGGTAGGGTATAAAACGTTAGAACAAGAATAGATAATAGGACATCAAATGTTGAAACTAGAAGAGACTTTAAAATGTAGCATGTTAGGACATAGCATGTTAAGGCTGGAAGTGACCTTTGGGCTGGGCTATAGATGGTTAGGACTGGAAAGGGCAGAATCACAGAATGCTGGAGGGACCTTAGGATCACAGGTATTAGAATGGCAAGGGACTTTAGGGATCATCTATTTCACCCTCCCTATTTTATAGATGAAGAAACTGAGGCCCAGGGAGATGAATAACATGCTCAAAGTCATGCAGAACAGGTGGCAGAGGTGGTTTCCCAACTTCCATACCTTACTCTTTGCAGTTTGCCATGTTGCTATCCTGAATTGTCCTTTTCCCCTAATGACCAAGGAGTCCCTGTCTCCAGTTTCACTGACTAGGATGGGACATCCTCCCTGGAACTTTTCCAGTTTAATGCCATGAAGTGGAACTATGGGGATGGAGTGACCAAAGGGTCAAGAAGATGGAATCTGCATCCCTCCTTCTACTGGGGTGGGGCCAGGGAGAGCTGTTCTCTCCCCCGGCAACTCTCACTGCAAAACTAAGGCAATCCTGATTGCCCCGTTCCCAGGAGCTTTGTCCAAAATCGGGTTGTTAAGAGCTGGGAGGAATCTTTCCATAGGCCCTTACCTATTCCAGATTCTCCTCTTCCTCTTGTTCCTCTGGTCTGAATTCAGAGGAAAAGGTAGAAAATCAAAATCCCTAGGCTAGGCTGGATTTGGGTTCTGGTTAAAAGAAGGGCCATGAAATCTGGGGGTTGGACCAGAATGGGAACATCCACATTCATTCCATGGCAACGGGACATGGGTGGATGCAAAGAGAAACCCGTAAATAGTGTGATGGAATGGGAACAGGACTGCACTGGGAGCCAAGAGTCCTGGGTCCTCTGACTCTAAACAGCTGTGTGACCTTGAGCAAGTCACTGAATTTCTAAGTTCATTCATTCATTCAAGAAATATTTAAGTGGCCTACCAGCTGCCCTGGAGGAGACACAAAGTCATAGAGCACAGACTTTTTCTCAAGGAGGTTATAGTCTGGAAGGGAGTTAAGACACTAATTCTGATAAGTAAAATATATGCAATAGTACATGTTGAATCACTTCAGTTGTGTCTGACTCTTTGTGACTCCATTTGGGGTTTTCTTGGCAAAGGTACTGGTGAAGTTTGCCAGTTCCTTCTCCAGCTCATTTTACAGATGAGGAAACTGAGGCAAACAGGGTGAAGTGACTTGCCTGGGGTCACACAGCTAGGAAGTTCCTGAGGTCAGATTTGAACTCATGTCTTCTTGATTCCAGGCTTGGTGCTCTATCCACTGAGCCATCCAGCTGATATTATAAGTGAATGAAAGGCAAAACAATAGGATAAGTGGGATCAGAGGAGGAAGGGCTTTTACCAGATGGAGAAGGCAACAGATAAGGCTTAATGAAAAAGGAGGTGGCCCTTAAATTGAGCTCTAAAGGATGGCCATGAATTGACCAGGTATAAAAGGGGAGAATTGCCAGGTGCAAGGAATTCTGAGGTTCCTTCCAGCTCTGACACTCTGATTCTATGATATTTCAGGGAACTGCTGAGTGGGTGGAAAACTTGAACCAACCAGGGACCAGGCAGGATACGGAGCAGTCAGTGACTCACTGTGCCCCAAGGGGCAGAGCTCTGGGACAGAGTTGGGGTAGAGAGGGGGTGGGGTTGGGAGAGCCAAGGGGGATGAACCAAAGCATGGACTTAAGTGCCAGTCTGCAGAAGACCCTTGTAGCTCCTGCACAATAGGGTTATGAGACCCTAGCTTGAAAGTTGGAAGGGACCATAAATCCTGGACTTGCTGTGTGACCTTGAACAAGATATTCTCTTTCTCCAGGCTTCCATCCCTTCTGCATTTTGTGAAATGAATCCTGCACTCCCATAGCTCCTTAGACCACAAGGGGCTGGACATCGAGTCCATCCTCTGCAAAGATCCCAGACAGAAATGAATAACCCATCCTTTCTTCCCTTTCTCGGGCCCGGAGAATGAATAAAATTATATCTGAGTCCCTTGGAAAGAAAAGACGTCACCTAGATTGCAGAGCTAATTTTGGCAGTTACGGAGAGCTGCAGTCTTGCTCCTCAGCTCTCCCAACAGGCTGATGGACTTTTTCATTTCAGGAAAGGTGAAGTCCAGTGTTGGGAGGGCCGGAAGGGGGAAGGGAGAAGGAGGAGTAAGATGTAAGCCAATCCATTTTTCTGGGGGTGATATTGTTTTGCCCTCTTTTCCAATGCCTCCTCTTCCCCTATGAAAGGAAGTGCGAGCTTTTGAATGTGGGATTTCTGCCCTCACTCTGTTTGTAGAGGGTGGAGGAAATGGACACAGCTAGGGAGGGGCCAGAAATGTGATTGGTCCTTGGAGAGAAGCAGGCCAGAGCTCTCTCTGTTCTCTCAGGACAGTTGGACTCTAAAGCACAGGAAGCGAGGATAGTCCCACTTCAGGTGCTCCCTCTTCCTTTCCTAGGCTATCAGAGCATCTGTAAAGAGCGGAGAGAGAGGCTCGTAGTAATCTCTAAGGTTTCAACCAATGTGAATGAATAAATGAATGAATGAATGAGAAAGAACTTATTAAGCACTCACTAGGTACCAGGCCTTGAACTAAGCTCTGGGGGCACTAATATAAAACAGAGACATTCCCTGCCTCACAGAGCTTACATTATAATAGGAGGAGAGTGCTGGCTAGAGAGGGTTGTTTTTGCCTCAAAGTTGCAGTGATGGTGAGTGAAGTCACAGATCTAGAGACAGAGACTAGACCGGTGATTTCATTGACATAAGGACCTCCAGGATGAGGAGCCTCCTCTTCAATGCCTTAGATTGCTGCTTAAGGTACTTGCCCAGGGTCACACAGCCAACATGTGTCAGTGGCCAGAGTTGAGCCTGGGTTTTCCCGAATCTTAAGGTTGTGTCTGACACACCACGATACTGAACAGGAGTCACTCAATAGACCCTTGGCAGAAATAATGGTAGTGTTGATTTGCTTCCTGTGACCAAAGCAAGGGGTGGAAATAGAGGAAGAGGATGGAGCATGATCCAGAGGTCCGGAGCTAGTTAGATTGAGCTGGTGTTTACTTCTCAGGACCACAAAGCCCCAGGAGGTTGTGCCAACAGCAGAAGCACCAAGAGGCGGGGAGGCATGGCAAGAAAATAGCCATGGTGAGGTACGGTTAAGGTCAGAGGGATCTAAATGGTTTCTAGGACTCCATCTCTTCCCAAGGCCTTCCCCCAGCCTTGGCATGGGCCGATGGCAGGAGGGCAAGGGCAAGGGTGGAAAGGACCAGCTCTTGTTCGTTTGACTTTAAAGAGGGTGGTAGAGAGATTAGGACTTACAGAACTAAATCCCTAGAGGTACAATTAGGGTAGGGCAGAGGCCAAGGTGTAGATATTGGGGAATACGCCTATAGGCAGCCTCTTGTTCTCCTGATGCTTAGGGCTAGCCTTGCCCCTGGGGAGAACATCTCAATACTTCTCTCTCTTTACTATGTATCGCTGGCTAAGGGCTGCCCTCGGGCAGAAGCTCTTTGTTACCTGAGGAACAGGGTAAGAAGGTTAGGAATCCTGGCATCCTCTGAGCATAAGCCTCATCTTCAGACTCACTGGCCACGGAAACCCTCAGGCAGTCAGGTAGGCAGTCAGTCAAACAGCTCTGCCACTTACTAGATATGTGTCCTTCTCTGGGTCATCGATTACTTGTCTTTCACTTGGAAGTGATCATCTTCACATTGGCTGTTTAGTGGAATTGTGTGAAAAGAGCTTTATAAAGTGCCATGGAAAGGTAAACTGCTATTACCATTTGGGATAATTCCTGGTGAAATGAAGGGGTAGGACTTGGTGGTCTCTATAAAATATGGGAGAGGTAGTCTCTATAGAACTGGGAGAGAAGCTTAAAGCATGGAAAGTCAGAGCTGAGAGGACAATAGGACACATAGGATGGAGGCAGGGATCCATAATGCCTGATACCAGAGATTTGGGTGATGGAGAAAGAGGCTCCAAGGAACGTCCTCTTAAATAGGTCCAGTTTGAATGAAGAGGCTTAGAGAACTTTCCCCTCATGACCTGAGAGGCCAGGTAGAGACACCCTTTTATCCCTATTAAATTGTTATTTCTGTGCCAATCAATTAAACTATAAGCATCTATCAACCACCTGTTTGTTATGTAGCGGACCCGTTTGTTCCTAGGGATACAAAGGCAACAAACATCCCCTGCCCTCAGGGAGCTTCTATGTGACAGAAATCCTCTCTAAGTCCTTGCTTTTCAAAGGGTACTTTCACTTCTCTCTCCAGAAATCAGAGCAAAACAGACCAGATGAGCAAATGATCAGGGAGGGAAAGTAGTTTCTCTGAGGTTACTCTAAATAACAAGAGAGATTTGGGGAGAGAAGAAAACTATCTCCTTTTGCTTTACCTGCACAGAAAAAAAGATGCATCTTTCAAGGTGCTTCCTTCTAACTGTAAAGTCAACTGTGGTGTGTCCCATGGTGAACAAGGTGGAGCCAAGAAGAAAGAAAACATGAAGGGTTGAAATCCAGTTATCATGTCCTGTCTCAGATCAGAGAACTGTGATTTCTTACTCTCATCCCCACCCAACTATTGACCAACCTTCTCACTAGCCCTGTGGTAGAGGAGAGTCAAGGAACCTGGGTTCAAATCCTACGTGACACTTATTACATATGTGATCTTGTCATTTATCTTTTTTCTTAGCCTCATTTTCCTCATCTTTAACAATGAAAGTATTGTACTGGGTGGCTTCTGAAGTCTCTTAAAGCTCTAGAAGTTAAAGAGAAGAGTTAAACTAGATGTTAAGAACAACTTCCTCAGGAGAGCTGTTCAAAAGTAAAAGGGGGCAGCCTAGAGAGTTGGTGGGTTCCCCATCCCTAGAGGTCTTTAAGCAGAAGGCTGGATGACCACTTGTCAATGATGCCACATAGAGGATTATGGGTTGGGTTCATTGATCTCTGTGTGCCTTCCAACTCTGAGATTATGTAATTGTGTGTGTGTGTGTGTGTGTGTGTGTGTGTGTGTGTGTGTGTGTGTGTTGGGGCAGTGGAGATGGGCAGAAGGCATAAGGGGGATGGTAGTGATGGAAAATGGGTCCTAACTCTGTAACTGATGCACTGGAACCCTAGATAAGCAATTCACTATTTTAGACCTGAGATTCCAGCAGACAAAACCCCATGATGGGAGCTCTGGGGGCAAAGGCAGACATAGGATATAAGGGTCCCAGATTCCAGGTCTCAACAAGAAGAAGTAGCATCATATAATAGAAAGGATTATGAACTGGTAGTCAGGAGACTGAGGTTCCCAATTTAACTCTGATGGTAACTTGCCAGATAACTAGATTCTCTGGCTCTCAGTTTCTCCATCTTTAAATTGAATAGTTGTACTACATGATAGCTAAGATCTCTTCCAGTTCCAGCATTCTGTGCACCAACATTCTATGTTCTAAGGTCTCTCCCAGCTCTGACATCTCATGTTCTAAGTTCTCTTTCACTTACAATATTTCATGTTCTAAGATCCCTCCAAGTTCTGACATTCTGAGTTCTAATGTCCTTGATGTTCTAGCGACCTATATTCTAAGGTCTCTCCAAGCTCTGACAGTCTTCATTGTAATGTCTCTGATGTTCCAATAATCTGGGTTCTAAGGTCTTTCCTAGTTTCCTTCCAAGCTCTCATATTCCAGGTTCTAAGGTTTCTTGCATCTGTGACATCCCATGTTCTAAGAACCCTCCAAGCTCTGACAGTTTAAGTTCTAAGGTCTGTCTCAGCTGTGACATCCCATGTTCTAAGATCCCTCCAAGCTCTTATATCTTTGGTTCTAATGTTCCCAGTGTTCTCAGGTTCCTTCCCAGATCTGACATTGAGAAACCTGAGATACACTGCTTCCCTCTCTCCATCTGTCCCTTGGATGTAAAGGACCTCTCTTCTTGTCATACTTCCACTTTTCTCTGTTTTCTGCCAAGGAGCAGGATGGGTTTGAGGGAATGACAGAGAGAAAGCTATTGGTTATCAGAGGAGATCATTTGTCACATATATATTAGACTACTTACTCTGTGTCTTTTCTCCCCAGGATTGGAGCTGATTGCAGCCCTTGGAGGTGACCTCTGCTGACTGCCATCTTTGCCCCTCCCCAACTTGGCTGGCCTCTCCGGCCACTATGGACATCACCAGCTTTCCCTCTCCAGTGTCCGCATCCTTAGAACCGGAGAATGCCTCCCTCACCTGGCCAGAAGACCCTCTGATGGGGAACCTGTCCACATCCCCAGCCAGCACAGGACTAGATGTCAGTGGTGTTCTGATCCCTCTGGTATACCTGGCAGTGTGTGTGGTGGGCCTTCTGGGCAATTCACTGGTGATCTACGTGGTGCTTCGGCACACGGTGAGCCCATCAGTGACCAACGTCTACATTCTCAACCTGGCCCTAGCTGATGAACTCTTCATGCTGGGCCTGCCCTTCCTGGCTGCACAGAATGCCCTCTCCTACTGGCCCTTTGGCTCCCTCATGTGTCGCCTGGTCATGGCCGTGGACAGTATCAACCAATTTACCAGCATCTTCTGCCTGACCGTCATGAGCGTGGACCGCTATCTGGCTGTGGTGCACCCAACCAGGTCGTCCCGCTGGCGCACGGCCCCCGTGGCCCGGGCAGTGAGCGCTGCCGTGTGGGTGGCCTCAGCAGTCGTGGTGCTGCCTGTGGTGGTTTTCTCAGGAGTCCCACGTGGCATGAACACCTGCCACATCCAGTGGCCTGAGCCAGCCGCAGCCTGGCAGACGGGCTTTATCGTCTACACAGCAGCTCTGGGGTTCTTCGGGCCCCTGCTGGTGATTTGCCTCTGCTACCTTCTCATTGTGGTCAAGGTGCGCTCAGCCAGTCGGCGGGTCCAGGTGACCTCATGCAAGCGGCGGCGGTCTGAGAGGCGGGTCACCCGCATGGTGGTGGTGGTGGTGGCCCTGTTTGTGCTGTGCTGGCTGCCCTTCTATGTGCTGAACATCGTCAATGTGGTCTGTCCCCTGCCTGAGGAGCCCTCTCTATTTGGTGTCTACTTCCTGGTGGTAGTGCTGCCCTATGCCAACAGCTGTGCCAACCCCATCATCTATGGTTTCCTCTCCTACCGCTTCAAGCAGGGCTTCCGAAGGGTCTTGCTCCGGCCCTCCAGGAAGGTCCGAAATCAGGAGCCACCCACTGGGCCCCCCGAGAAGACAGAGGAGGAAGAGGAAGAAGAGGAGGAGGATGAAAGAGAAGCTAGAAAGGAGATGAATGGGCGGGTCAGTCAGATCAGCCAACCAGGAAGTGGTGGGCAGGAGCAACCACCCTGCAGACCCTGTGGCAGTGAACAGAAACCTCTCCCAGAAGAGCTAACTGGTGGGGAGAAATCCAGCACTTCAAAGACAAGCTATTTGTAACCAACGGAACATGATAGGGCAGAGGAAAGGGAGAGGAACTGGAGAGGGGGTGAGAAGGAAGAGTTTTGAGATGCCACTGAGTAGGTAGCAGGGGCCCTAGGCATCCCTAAAACCCATCGCCACCACTGGGGAAGAGACTAGGTGACGAGGTCAGTGCTGAGGGAAAAGATAGGGGAGTGGTGGAAGGAAAGAGATAGAATCTCATGTGCCCATGGCCAAGTCACTTCTGTAGCCCTCATTTTCCTCATGTGCAAAATGAGGAGTTTGGACAAAATGGTAGCTAAGAGCTCCTCCAGGTTCAGATTGATTTTCTTATGGCCCTAGAAGGGATCAGGAAAGTCAGCTCAGGCTGGCTCAGATAAGCGACCATGGGCTCTTTCCCAAGGAGCTGCCCCTAAAGGGTCTTGGGGAGAGGGGAGATCCGGGATGTAACAGTTCCTGGATGACGATCCTTTTCTTCCCTAGATGTGAGTAAGCCACATCTGAAGTATTTTGTCCAGTCCTAGGTGTCCCATTTTAAGAAAAACGTTGACCAGTGGTGCTGTGTCCAAAAGATGGTGGTCAAAATGGTGAGGGGACCGGACCATTCTATGACAGTTGATGGGTCTGAACCTCAGCTTTGCCACTGGTTAGCTTTGTGACCTTAGTCAAGTCACTAAATTTCTCTGGGATTCAGTTTCTTCATCTGTAAAATGAGTAGCATGGATTGAATGACCTCTGAAATCTTTTCCAGTCCTTAAACTATGATTCTATGATGCTGTTACTTTACCTCTGGGGCTCAATTTCTTTATCTGTGAAACAAAGGGGTTAGATTAAATGAGATCAGGGCCATTCAGCTCTAAATATGATGAAAGCTTTCTTCAAATATCTAAAGAGCTGCTGTGTAGGAGAAGTGGCAGGTCTGTCTGCCTGGACCAGAGAGCAGAACTAGAAGCATGGGGCTGAGGGTTGGCAAGAGGCAGATCTCAGCTCTCCAGAAGAAGCTTCTTAACAATTAGAACTGTCCATGGGGGAGATAGGCTGCCTCAGGAAGACCCCTTCCTCCTCACTGGAGGTCTTCCAGCAGAGGCCAGATGACCCCTCACTGGGGATGTTGTGTAAGGGATTTCTGCTCAGGTATGAGTTGGAACAGATGACCACTGAGGTCCCTGCCAACTCTGACATTTTTTGACCCTTGAACCAACATCCCTGCCACTCCCTAGCTGAAAGTGAGTTCTTCCCCACATCTCCTTGTTGGGGAAGGGGAAGTCTTCATGCTATTTATTTACTAGCTGAATGATCTTGGGCAAATCATTTCATCTCTCTGGTCATCAGTTTACTCAATTGTCAAATGGAACAGTTGGCCTAGATGCCCTCTAAGGACCCCTCCAAATCTAAAGTCAATGATCCAATGAACCTCTTCCATATTTCCTTGCCCTGTCTCCCCCTGCCCCCACTCCAATCCCCCCAGTTCCTTGGGCTTTTAAATCCAGCCAGTGTTTAATCAGTAGAAACACCTGAGATGGAGATAAGAAGAAAGTCTAGTCTCATTGGCTGATCCATTCTGACATTTTTAGTGGATTCTGTTGGTCTGGCAAAAGGGAAGGATGCATTCTCATCTTCTCACTTTTCATCCTTATCTTAGCTTTGGGGTGACTCCACTGGGGAGCCTCCTTTGTAGTCTTGGGCAGCTTGGCTTATGGAAGTGAGGCTGGGGAGAGAAGCTAGGGGAGAAGGGGGTTTGGAAGAAAAAGGCAGCTGCCAGAGCATGAGAGCTAGCCTGGGGTGAAAGAGCAGCATGGAGGGAGGTCATAGAGTGGACCAGGCAGATCCTTAGAAGGCCAACCTGCGGGGACCAAAGGGTCCAGAGGCTCTGGTCACATGTATACATGGGTTTATATGTACCTGGAAGGGAACTGTAGAACAGAGTAGTGAAAGAGCTCTGGGTTCTAATACTGGCCCTGCCACTCCATAGCTGTAGGACCCTTGCCAAATAAAATCAACCTTCCTGGTCTTCAGATTCTTCATCTGTAAAATGGGAGTGATTTATGCCTTCCCTGCCTACCTCACAGGGCTGTTGTGAGGGCCCAGTAGGATTATAGATGAGAAAACACTCCAAAATCTCAAGTGTGACACGATGCTTCAAACTTAGAGGGCATTTAATAAATGTTCGTTGGATGAAATGTGAGGAATAATTATTATTACATGCAGACCTCATTTATTTTTCTCCATCACCCTCCCAGTTGGCTGGACAAATGTCAGAATTCCCTCGTCATCCCACTCTGTTAGGGAAGGAGTGATGGTGAAGCTAGGATGCTCCTCCCAGAATCCCCATGCTTCTCTGGCTACTCCTGAAAGGGGAAATAACACGTAATTGCGGGGTGGTGTGGGGTGAGGAAAGGGCAAAGGTCTGAACTATAGGAGTGGCAGGGAAGCAAGGATCAGGGGAGAGACCATGTCTGGAAGAAATACAAAGGTGGTCTTCTGCCACTTACTATAAGTTATGTCCTCCCTCTCTACCTCAGTTTCCCCATTTGTAAAATGAGAGAATTAGACTTAGTGACCTCTAAGGTTCCTTCTAGTTTTAAAGTCTTAAGATCCCCAGACTTGGATAGACATCTGTAGGGAAATGAAGGAAGAAGGGCATGTTGTGAAGAATGGGGGATGCAGGGGGATGCCTTTTGAATTTGGGGGGGGTGCCACAGGAAGAGACCTGTTTGGCGTATGTACCCTGTGGTCCATGGGCCCAAGACTGGGACTGGGCAGGTGGCCGTGAGGGGAGGGGCTTGAGAAGACCGTAGAGTCCTTCCTCCCTTTCTCCTCCATCTTCTTGGCTCTCTCCCTCCCCACTCCTGCAGTAGGCTCACCTTGAACTTTCTCTGAAAAGGCTGTTGCTAGGCAACAATGGTCCATAGCATTAAATCTCCATCCTGAGTCCTGAGCAGAGGACGGAGATGGCCAGCTGCAGGGAGAGGATGGGGAGGGAGGCTTCTTCCAGGATCCAAAGTGTGTGTGTGTGTGTGTCTGTCTGTCTGTCTGTCTGTCTGTCTGGGGGTGGGGGGAAGGGGAGGGCAGAGGTAGACATCAGGACAGAACACCCAGGGCTATGAGCCTACAATTCTGAGGAGCCACTGAGAGAAGGCAAGTGTAATTATAGGCAAAGAATGCTGGGGTTGCAGAAAGAGTTTGGAGTCCAAAGAGCTGAGTGTGAATCCTAGCTATTCCATCCCTTTTCTGAGCTTCAGTTTTATTAGCTATAAAATGAGGAGGTGGGGCTAAGTGACCTCTAGATACCACAACCAGTAATTAGCAGTGGATGACGTTGAGAAAACTAAAGGGGATGGGAGCCCAATTTCTCATGAAGGGTGATAGAGGGTAGGAAATTACCTTTCTCCTGTTGTGTATTTCTTAATAAGGATACCAATGATAGAGATTTCTAGAGAAGTTCCAAGTAAACAAAGCACTGTGCGGCAGGAACATGACTGTAAGTGTATTTGCTACATTTTACAGATGAGAAAATTGAGGTTTAGAGAGGGAAACAACTTAACAAAGATCGCATAACTGTTCATTGTCCAAGCTGGGACAAGGAGGCAAAGTAGTTGATGGAAAGAATAATGGCTTTGGACCTGGATTCAAACTCTACCTTTGATACCTTTCCCCTTAAACCCTTGGGTGAGTCACTTAAGTACAGTGGGACTCACTTTCCTTATTTGTTAAAAAAAAAAAAGGTGGTTAGACTAAATGACCCATGAGGTCCTTTCCAGAATCTAAATCAATGACCTCACAATTCTCTAGTTTCTGCTTTCCATATCTTCTGTTCTTTCCATCATATCTGGTTGTCTGCCTGAAGTCTTTGATGTGCAAAAATCCTTTAGAAAGTATTGCTTGGGATGGCCAGTACCTGAAATACCAACGGCTTTCAGGGGAGACAGCAGTGATGGTTAAAACTCATTTGCCCCTTTCCCTGCTTGAATTGAGAATAGGAATAATTTAATTTATATATGCACACATATGCATATATGTATATATGCATATATGTGTATATGTGTGTACATGTGCACACATCTGCATATAATTATATAATTAAATGTGCACACATATAATGCTTTGAGATTTGCAAGACACCTCATATATGTTATCTCATTTTGATCCTCATAACAACCCTATCAGGTAGGTATTATTTTTATCCTCATTTTACAGATGTGGAAACTGAAGCTCAGAGAGGTAAGTGACTCATCTGAGGGTCATATAGCTAAGTTCTGAGACATGATTCAAACACAGATCTTTCAGATTCTAAACTCAGTACTCTATTCACTGAGCTTGGAATGAATGAAAACAAAGACTGATTAAGTATGTATGATGTGGCAAATACTGTACTAAGTTCACATAGAAATATACCTACACTGGGAAAGTTCATATTGTAATTGGGAGTCAGAGAGAGACATAACACATAGAGGAGGGTTTGGCTATAGGGCACATGGAAAGGCACCTAAGCGTACCTCCTGGAGAGGACTAGTCAGCTGCCCTCGGGAAAAGGGGGTGGGTCTAAGGCTTGGAATGGAGTGGGGCTTCTGTGTTCCTACCAGCTTGAGCCACCCAGGGTCTTCTAGGTGCCCCAGATAGGCACTGGGCAGCTTGCTTGATGTCAACTCTGGCTGGGCCACTACAAAGCCCCATCCCCATTGGGCTAAGGTTATGCGTTGTCCTAAATCAATGGTTCTCGAAGTGTGGTCTGGGATCCCCAAGACCCTTTCAAGGGGGTCCATGAAATCAAAAACTATTTTTATAGTAATACTAAGACAATTTAATTTCTAATGCAGTAAATATTAATACATATACCCCACATAAACAAAAGCTCTTTGGAGGATCCTCAATTTTTTTGAGAGTGTAAAGGGGTCTTGAGACCAAAACATTTTAGACTTGCTTGCTTAGATGGTCACTAAAGCCCCCTTCAACTCTCAAAATTCGGTGACCCCACAATTCTGTGACCTCTTCTAATGACTCCTTCCTCTGCTTTGATGTTACTTTTCCCCTCATTGACCAAGCAGATTCTTACTTTTAACCTTATCATTATTCAGTGCAGGGGAGGAAGGGTTTTATTCCTGCCCTCCTCCACATCGACTGATTGAGGAATCAATCCCTGGGGGATTCTGGGAGGGAACTGGTGGCAGGCAGAATGAGTCATTGCACTTAGCCACGTGCCTGTTTTCATAGGACTGGCCAGGCTAAGAACTAAGGAGGGGCTAGCGACCACAAGGGTGACCAGCCAGGGGAGGAATATCTTAGCTGCCAGCCATTATCTAAGAACATCTAGAAGTGGAAAGTGAGCTCTGGATCTCTTTGGGAAAAGGGCATACAATGGAGCAATCACAGATCTTCCGAACTGTGGGAATAGAGCAATAATGGAGATGATGAGGCTCCCATTCCAGCCAATCCATAATACCCTTCCCACCATTCATCTGCCTCAACCAATGAAAACACAATACAAGCACCTACTATGCGACAGAGAGAGTGCTAGGCGGTGGAAATACAGAGACAAGAAGGAAACAGCCCCTGCCCTCTGGGGGCTTATATTCTAACCAGGGAAATATTATGTATGCATAGAAGCAGATGAGGAAGGGAATAATCTTCTATATAGTGCCTACTCTGTACCAGTCACTGCACTATACGCTTCACAAATATTTTCTCATTTTATCTTCACAACAACCCTGGAAGGCAGGTGCTATTATTAGCCCCATTTTATAGCTAAGGAAACGGAGGCAGACAGCAGTGAAGTGACTTGCCCAGGGTCACATAGCTAGTAAGCATCTAAGTCTGGATGTGAACTCAGGTCTTTCTCTCTAGCCTCAGCGTTCTGTGACAGCGGCACCCCCTGTGGGGTGTGAATACAAGTTGGACTAGAAAATCTCTTCAGGTCCCTTCTACCTCTGAGAGTCTAGGATTCTGTAATACTCATTTTGGTACATTTCATTCATTCATTCATTCATTCATTCATTCATTCATTCAAAGGACAAATTGAGGAGCAATCCTTACTCATTTTATTGTTGATGTTCAGCCCGTCTTCATGACCCACATGAGGTTTTCATGGCAAAGATGCTAGAATGGTTTGCCATTTCCTTCTCCAGCCTCAGTTTCCCCACCCCATCTAAAAAACCAAGGGAGTTGGGCTAGACAGCTCAAGCCCCGTCTAGTTCTGGATCTGTGCTCCTGAGATAAGTCAATATGAGATGTGAAAAGTGGCTATTTCACCTGTGCCTTCTGGTCTTCCCCAGCTTTTGCCTTCTCCGAGCAAGGGGCCACCACTATAGCCCTTCTTCAGGACACCAGGGCAGCAGCAGCAGTGGGATGGTCCATCTGTCAAGACAAGTGTCCGCCATGTTTTTGGTGCTTGTCCTTCTCTACTCATGGGTGTCCTTGATGATCTGGTGATGTCACTTGTGTCCTTGCTGAAGCCCACTTACACCACCACACTTTTTTCCTTGACCACAGGTCACTGGCAGGGGCGATTCTGCAAAAATCATGGCGTTCTGGTGAGGGTAGCCAAGGAGCATTGCCAGGAGACAAGGGATATTCAAAAGAGGGGTCCTTGGGTCAGGAAGCAGCTTGGGATACTTGAAAGGGTCAGGTCATATGTCCTAAGTGCCTACATCACCATCTCTTTAAACCCTAGGTCCAGCTCTCTGATTCCAAAATTCTCTCTTTTAAGAAAAAATTTCAGATTTTTTTTTCTTTTCTTGGCTAGGCAATGGGGTTAAGTTATGTGCCCACGGTCGCACAACTAGTATGTGTTATGTGTCTGAGGCCGGATTTGAACTCAGGTCCTCCTGAATCCAGGGCCAGTGTTCTATCCACTGAGCCATCTAGCTGCCCCAACATATTCCAACTTTAATAACACATATAAGACAGGCTTTGCCATATATGTAATATGATAGAAGATGTTATATACAAGGGAAACTCTCCCCTGGGCCCTGCTGGCTTTTCTTTTTCGTATATGAGATCAACCTATACCTTTTTTTTTTTTTGGTTAGGCAATGGAGTTAAGTGACTTGCCCAGAGTCACACAGCTAGAGAGTGTTCTGTGTCTGAGGCTGCATTTGAACTCAAGTCCTCCTGACTCCAGGGTTAGTGTTCTATCCACTGCACCACCTAGCTGCCCTCTAACCTATAACT